AGACGTCATCAATGTCTAGACAGATGTCATCAATGTCTAGACAGATGTCATCAATGTCTAGATAGAGTGCCGAGCCCTGTCCCTCTGCACCCATCTACTGACTGTCTAATAACTGTGAAATGTCTTCCTCTGTCAACTGCCTCCTCTTTAGTGTTATGGGCGGAAAATGAGAATTTCTGAATTCTCAACTCTGTTCAATGAAACCCACTGCCGTCGAGTTGATTCTGACTCATAGCAACCATCTAGCACAGAGGAGAACTGCCCCATAGGGTTTCCAAGCAGTGGCTGGTGGATTCAAACTGCTGCCTTTTTGGTTAGCCAGGCTCTTTACCACTGCACCACTAGAGTGCTATAATAAATTCCTAAAGACAAAAAGAAAACATCAATGAAAGTGGCTAGAAATAAAAAGCTTATCTCCGGATATCTTGTATACCTTCTTGAAAGGCACTGCTCTGGGCCATGCAGCGTGAAGTGCGAGGATGGTGCAGTGGTGATGATTCACTTCACTGTTGCATTGTCCTCCTCGGCAATTCCATAATTCTTGCTTTCTTGTTATTTTAGTCTCCTTTAGCACGATTGGGAATAATTGACGAGTAATAATGGAATCATTCTTAGGATGATGAAATAGCAAAATATTTCAAGATACTAGGAAAATAAGATCCCAAAGATTCCATATGGCGGCAGACATGTGTTATGTTTAAGAAATTGTGCACTGGACCCATATCGTAATTGTGAGGTAGAATGGCTATTGTTTCATTTTTTTAAAACAATAAGTAATTTTTTTCTTTGTTCGTTGGAAGCCCTCTAAGAATAAAACTATCAATCCTTACAAATTGTTAGAACTGCTCAAAATACGTACTAAGAAATGAAAATTGGGTCCAGTGGACTCTGATGGTAAGTCAAGGCTTAATATCATCCAATACCCAGTCCACATTTAAATTGCTCTGTGCAAAAAATCTTTTTTACAGTAGATTTATTTAAATCAGGATTCAAACAAAGTCCACTCATAGTATGTGCTTCCGTCCCTGAAGTCTCTTTTAAGGGTCTTTTAATGTAGAATCCCTCTCTTTAGTTTAATGCCATTGATTAATATAAGAAACCGGGTCAGCTGTCCTGTGGGATGGCCCGCATTTTGAGTCTGACTGCTTTCTCGCGGTATCGCGGACCGTGCCCCAAGATGGGCTTGGACTCCGCCTCGGTTTTTGTCTAGGTGTGCCGTGCGCTTCGGGATGCGTCATAGCTAGGGGCACAGAGGTAGGGCGGCCTCCCTTTCAGGGGTGCAAGGGTTGACCAGTGGTGTTATGGACTGAGTTGTGTCTTCCCCCCGCCCCCCAAATGTGGAAGTCCTAACCCCTGGCCCTGGGACTGTGACTCTGTCTGCAAATCGGGTTGGGTTTCTTTTGATACGTTAATGAGGTCACACTGGAGTAGGGTGGGCTCTAAACTTAATCCCTGCTGAGTGGTGTTCTATAAAAGGGGAGTATAGACAAAGAGGAGGAGCCCTGGTGGTGCAGTGGTTAAAGTGCTGGGCTGCTTACCAAAAGGTGGGCGGTTCGAACCGACCAGCCACTCTGTGGCTGTCTGCTTCCATAAAGATTTCAGCCTTGGAAACTCTATGGGGCAGTTCTGCTCTGTCCTATAGGGTCCCTATGAGTTGGAATGACTTAACGGCAATGGGTTTTTATAGACACACAGACACATCTGGGGGAAAAGATCACGTGAAGAACTCAAGCAGCCGCTGTCGAGTTGATTCCGACTCATGGTCACTCCATGTGTGTCGGAGTAGCACTGTGCTCTGTAACGTTTTCAGGAAGTGATTTTTTCAGCAGTAGATTGCCAAGTCTTTCTTCCGAGCCACCTCTGGGTGGACTTGAACTGGTTAGCAGCCAAGCTTGTTAACCATTTGCACCAACCAGGGACTCTGGTGCTGTCATAACCCCTGGATTGTCATTCTCTGCGTCGTTTTGAAAGGATAGCTCTTGGAAGAACGCTGAGCCTTTGAACATGTATTGAAATATTACTCAGAAAATGTCCCCTATTCATCAGACTTTCACCTCTCCTCCGCAGGTCGACAGTGCTCCTGTCTGGCCTCGCCTGGCTCAGATACCACCAGGTGGTCAATGAGCAGAAGGCCGACGGACACTTCCACCTACGGCCACCAGGTGGCGATTGGCAGCTGTGCGCGCCAGCAGGTGGATAATCATTAGTATAGGGTCGCTGTGAGTCGGAATCGACTTTGCGGTAACGGTTTTTTTTTTTTTAAGGGGAGGGGCAGGATTCCTGCTTTGCATGGCACCTCCTGACGACCTTTGTGGGGCTCATTTCTAGGTTGAGGCTTGTGTTGGGAGATACGCTAGCCAAGCCCCCTGGGGGACCCTACCAGGCTGTCCCTCCCTGGCCCCCACAGTGAGCCCTAGCAATGACAGCTCGCTGGGGCTCCACACACACGTGTGTGCCTCTGGCCGTGTCCTGGCCACCGCTAGGAGCCCCGCAGATGCCTGCAGAGCCCCAGCCCCCTCCAGCTTCACCTCCCCTGGAAGCTCCCCTGCCCCCTCCAGGCCCCCCACCGGGCCCAGGGCATTTCATCACAAACTCGCGTTCACACTCACACACACACCCACATCACACACACCTGCATTCACATCACACACCCCCATGTTCACACACACCTGCTCATGTTCACACCCCCCCACGTTCACGTACTCACACACCCCTGCATTCACACACACACCCACATTCATACACACCTGTGTTCACACACACCCACCCACGTTCACACACACACACACACACACACACACACACTCACAAATCATTTGAAACTCCCCGCTGAGTTCTGTCCTAAGCGAGCCCCTTCATGGACAGAGAGGGACCTGGAAGCGCAGAGAGATGGAGTGTCTTGGCAGAGTCTTCTGCGAGTTGAGTGGCAGACCTGAAACCCGAGGATCGGACTCCAGGTCCAGCACTGGTCACTGTGTCCCCTCAACAACCGAAGGTTGTTGCAGACACCAAACCAAACCGTTCTGACTCACCCACACTGAAGGACAGAGCAGAACTGCCCCACAGGGTTTCCAAGCTGTGATCTTTACAGAAGCAGACTGCCACATCTTTCTCCCACGGAGCGGCTGGTGGGTTTGAACCGGTGACCTTTCGGTTAGCAGCTGAGGGCTCCTTACATAATAGTGCGGAGGTGCTCCAACCCGGACAGGCCCTCTACATACGCAGCTCCTGGGACAGCACCGTGGTTAAGCTGGCCGTGAACAGACCCTGGAGACGGATCTCGCTGGGACACGAGGTTTCTGTTCAGAAACCCCAGCTCTCAGTGGCATGTACAGGAGGGCAGGACAGATTAGGAAGCATGGAGATTACATGAAGAAGCCATCTGTTTAAGTGGGATTTAGACATTTGTTACAGAAGTGTTCAGCAGCAGCTCAGAGTACCAGGAAGAGAGGGGAAGAGTCTCTCCCCATACTACATCTGAATGAAGTTAGATAAGTGTACCTATGGACTGTGTATTTAAAATGAAAGAGATTGTAATTTAACTCAGCATATTTACAGTGATTAACTGTTGGAGATGACATAGCGCGTTCTGTGGTGAGGGCTGTGGTGGCCAGAACGTGCCCTGGAAGGCGACCCATCCTTCCCAATAAACCACAACGACTGTGCTGCGTGGACGTCCCTGAACTGGGGCCAGTGACAAACAGCTTCCTGACGCTTACCCAGGAGACCGCTCTGAGTGCTGCCCTTCTGCGTCTCTCCAGGATGAAGAGAAAACAAAATTAAATTCTGTTTAACACAGTTCTTATAAATTTAACTTGTTTAAATTTTTTGGATTTATATTGCATTTTTTAAGAAAATTTAGAGAATGAAATTGATTCAACTTCATTTTTCCAAACCCTAAACTGAAATGCAGTTCTGAAACCCAAATTGACCATGGGGACACCTCCACTGTGGGAAGTCAGAGTCACATCACACAGCTTTCAACAGTGGGTCACACGGACACGCAACTTCCTTTCTGCAGGGTCACCCTGCAGCGAGGACAGTCCTTGGAACAGCTTCCTCCTCATGCCCAGGTAAGGAGCTTCCTGCTAGCAACCAAAATCAATTCTGAGAAAGTGCCCCAGGTGCCTTGGGATAAATCATTACTGCATCTACGAATATGCTCTGAGAAAGCAAAACATTCAGGGAAGCATAACCCAATTTTACCTTTAAATAAAAATACTTTATTCATTCCTGACAGGTTATCAAAATGTACATTGTTAACCAGGTAAACACGGTACTTTGAAATAGGTGACTAGGGTGTATTTGGAGGATTTTTGGTTAATCTTAAAAAGAGTGAAAACTACTTCCAGTCTCCCTTTCCACACATCCCTGACAAGTCTGCACTGCACTGGCTTGAAATGGACATACAATGACATGGGCCCCAGTTTGTTACAGAACGCACCTTTTTCATTTACACTTAAAATAAATGGAAGCTGTTACGTTTGGGTTATCTTCTTTTGCCAAATTCTTGCATACATTTTGTGTAACTTTGTACATGACGCAAGGAGGGAACACGTGACGTGTGGGACTCTAGGATCACACCCACGTACAGGGTAAAGTGCAACACAGGAGTGTCTGCGACACTCCTCTCCTCACGGCCCCCGGACTTCGCGGGAGGGTGGGGATATCTGCCCCTCCGGCGCACGGACGCTCGGCCGACACAGGAGGGCCCTCCTTCCACACTGACGTTCGTGTTAACAGTCCTATCTGCTTTGCTTCCTGTGGCTTCTGTCTTTCATTCTCCATGAAAGCTTTGAAGCTGTGATTCTTTTTAAACCTGGAGAAAAATCAGCTCTTCGAGCAACCAAAACAGTGCTTTAAAAGTGCTCAAATGCCGCCGGCAAAGGGGGTCCCCGACGCTGTCCCGTCTGCAACGGGGAGACACAGTCACTTAATAAAATTAACATTTCCTGAGCGGGCAGCAGATGCTCGAGTACCCATGTGAGCAGCCACCACACCAGCCCTACAGCGGGGGAGTCTGGGGTGCGTGTGGTTCTGATGCTGAAGTAGGTGACTGAGAAACGCTTTTGTTCCTGAGGTGAGCGTGAGGAAGGTGAAGGACCCTCGCTCCTTCATGAAGAGCCCCCACGCCGGTGGTCAGTCCTCCCCGCGGCGCCACTTCTGCGACTCGTCCTGCCGCACATCTGGTCGGATCTGGTTCCTCATGCCGCCCAGCACGTTGGACGTGGCTTCCGTGGCCACGATGAGCGGCCTCACCACCGCCGGGGGGATCTGGCGCAGGACCTCACCCACGGCGCCCGTCACCCCTCGGCTCTCGTGCTCCCGGGCCGCCGTCTCGTAAATGGTCTGCGCGGTGTCTGTGAACCCCTGCAGGCGGGCCGGCCGGGGAGAGAAGGGAGGTGAGCGGTCAGAGAAGGCTACGTTAGCCGGTAATACACACTCTCCCTACAGCTAGTCGACAAGATGTCTGCAGCCAGACCAACTGTGCTTCTGAGATAACCCAGAATAATGCTTCTTATTACAAAACTCCAATTACGAGGGAAAGTGAGGCAATTATCACGATTTGGTATTTTGTCGTGACACTACTGGGTGGACAATGTAGCCAGACTGTAGCTTCCCGTCATGAAGCTTTCAGAAATAGCTCATCATCCAGGAGAAGCTTTTTGGGTACTATTAGTCATTCTAAGGAGCCCTGGTGCTGCAGTGGTTAAAGCGCTTAGAAAGGTTGGCAGTTCGAACCCACCAGGCACTCCACAGGAGAAAGACGTGGTGATCTGCTCTGTAAAGATTACGGCCTTGGAAGCCCTATGGGGCAGTTCTACTGTGTCCTACAGGGTTGCTATGGTCAGAATCGAGTTGACAGAAGTGGGTTTGGTTGGTTTTAGATTAATCGTTCTAGTTAAAGCAAACTTAGCAAGCAAAGCATCTTGAATAAGTATATTCACTGAAGGAAAGCAGCGATGGCTCTTTTGATTCAACTGTGACAAGAAAACCTAATTCTACTAAGCTCCAGAAAATTATTTTAATCTAATTTGAATTACTGGCTATGTATCAGGAAAGACGACTGTGTGACATTCAATTACGGTAAAGGCTAAAAAGAAAACCCGGCTGGATTAAGAGAAAGTTCTAAGAACACGAGGCAGGAACCGTCGTTTAATAATTAGAAACAGGGCTTGTGGAACGTTTCTCACCCTCTTCTAACGAGCCGGCGGTAAGTTCCTGTTTATGGGGACGGAAGACATGGCAGTGCGGGCTGGCGATGCCGCACAGCATGATGGACGTAAATGGTTTCACTGAGCCCTACGAACAACAAGTGCTAAACGGGCAAAGGCTGGGCTGTCTGTATGGTTTACAACAGTGAAAAAAAGGTCAAAGAAGGGAAGAAAAAACCTGTCAGGATTGCTAAGCTTTAAAACTAAACACACAGGCACAGGGTCACCACGAGTCGGAGTCGACTCAACGGCAACGGGTTTGTTTCGGGTTTCGGCCAAGGCAGAGCGGGAGCGCCGCACACACGACAGTCGACGCTCCACAGTGTGTCTGATTCAGAGTCCCCTGGAGCACACGAGCTGGTTGGCAGCTCGGAGGAACCCGGGGTGCTCCGGAGGAATGAAGGCCTTGCCCTCACTTTGGCGGGCCAGCGAGAATGTCATTTCCACGCAGAAGAGCGGCAGAAACGGGCAACACCGTGGGCAAAAGATGAAACGGGCAACACCACGGGCAGAACATGAAACGGGCAACGCCACGGGCAGAACATGAAACGGGCAACGCCACGGGCAGAACATGAAGTGCAGGAAAAGTGAAAAAGCACCTGCCGTTCTAAAACCACCTAGAAGAGAACGGCCGAGAGGGGAGGTGGAATTCAACGCAGAATGTGCTTATAACTTAGACGTCAGCCCACATCACCTCGTCCAGCCCTGCCTGCCCCCACTTCCACAACAATACGACTATCACAGTATCAGTTTATCCTAGTGTAATGATCAACACCGAGCCTGGAGACAACAGAAATTGATTAAAATCTCAGCTCCATCTCCGAGCTGCGTGGCCTTAGACAAGTCACTTAAATGGGGAATAAAAACACCGCCCACCCTCTATTGTGACTGTTAGAATGGAATAACGCACCCAGTGAGCCTGGCGTAGCTGGGCAGACGGATTCCCACCCCCTCGCCACGACTACCCGACTACTGTCAAATGGAATTATGGAAGCAGGGGTTGGCAAACTTTTTCTGTAAAGGGTCACACAGTAAATATTTATGGGCCATACAGTCTCTGTTGTATATTCTTAGTTTTTCGTTTTTTTTTTTTTTTTTAAACAATCCTTTACAAATGTAACAACCATTCTTAGCGTGAACGCCCAAACAAATACAGGCAGGGGCCAGATTTCACCTGTGGGATATAGTTTGCTGACCCTCAATCTAAAAGATGAGAGTATCTGTAAAACACAAGAGACTTTTTCTCTTGATCTTTGAGTTATTATTAACATCTCAAAGAAAAAGGAAATAATTAACACTATTTAGGAACCTCTGTTTTAAAACATTCTTAACATGGAATTCCGATTCCGCCTAATCGGGCAGACCTGTCATCTCAATCCACACTTCCGCTAACTCTCACCCTTGCCCCTTATCTTCATGCCCACAGTTTTGCAGAAAGGGAGCTACACGTCCGACCCTGCCCGCTGCCCCCGCGCTCCGGTCTTCTGGGGAGACCACCCTGCCCGCTGCCCCCGCGCTCCGGTCTGCTGGGGAGACCAGCCTGCCCGCTGCCCCCGCGCTCCGGTCTGCTGGGGAGACCACCCTGCCCGCTGCCCAGGTCTGCTGGGGAGACCAGCCTGCCCGCTGCCCCCGCGCTCCGGTCTGCTGGGGAGACCAGCCTGCCCGCTGCCCCCGCGCTCCGGTCTGCTGGGGAGACCAGCCTGCCCGCTGCCCCCGCGCTCCGGTCTGCTGGGGAGAAGAGTTTTCTTGCAGAGCCCCCTTCCTCGTCTGTGATGCTGGAATATCACCCATCTTTAATATTACGCACTGGGCACAGAGTAAGCATCAGAGATTTACCGAGAGATGGCCAGAGGTTAAATAAGGTGGACACACACGTCAAAGTGCCGTTGTTCCGTCACGCTGCCAACAGCCCCTTCCGTGCCTTCAGGCCCAGGATCTTTTCACAACTCTGTTCTGCCCCACATCCATGGATCCCGTCCCCATCCTGACGTCGGTAGAGGCCGCTCTGACTAGTAATTACCTCCCCTTTATTCTTCCCAAGGAGCCCTGGTGGCGCGGTGGTTAAGCGCTCGGCTGCTAGCTAGAAGGTCGGCGGTTCAAACCCACCAACAACTGTTCCACTGGAGAAAGATGTAGCAATCAGCTTCCGTAAAGATTACAGCCTTGGAAACCCCGTGGGACAGTCCTCCTCTGTCCTACAGGGTCACCACGAGTCAGAATGGACTCTGTGGCATTGGGTTGGGTTGGTTTGTTTGTTTGCTTTATGTAAGAAAACTGTGAAAACATGTACTTCCACCTTCAGGGCAGTGAAGGGATGGGGATGAGATCCGGGCGGGTGATTCAACTGAAAAGCTGTGTTTCTTAAACAAATCCGAAGTAAACTCGGCCGAGTATCAGAATGTGTGTTAAGTCTAGGAGGTGAGTGTGTGGGTGTCTGGTTCTGTGACTCCCTGGATGCTTCCATATGTGGAGAGAGAAACTCTTTTTGTGAGCCCATCATCACCACCTCGCCCTCTGTTCTCACCTCGGGCAGGTGCTCACTACTGGAGACGGTTCCCATCTACTCCCAGGCGCTTCTCCAGAACAACGTCCCGCCATTAAACGCTCTTGGGCTGGGGAAGCGTGCGCACTGGGTCTGACCTGACGGCCCCAGGATCCACTCACCTCTTTCACAACACTGCAGGCCTTGGCCACACCTTCCCTCAGGTCGACTGGCTGCTGGGCTAGGCGGTGATGAGGAAACCTTCTGACCTTCTTGGGCTCGACAGAAAGGGTGCCAGGAGACACCATGTCGTAAGCAGTCTCTGCTGCGGCCTGGATCGCATTTTTAGAAAGTAAGAGATGGGTCAGAAGAAGGTTGAGGCTCCGCACCCACAGTGGTCGCCCTCAGGGAGTGAGGAAGAACGCGGGGCGGGCATGTCCTAAGCAGACACTGCCTCCGTGTTTGAGTCTCTACAAGAATCCATTACGTCTCAAAACAAGACATTACAGCATAATGAAGTGCTAACATCTGGAGGGAGCTGATTTTTCTGTCCCTCTGTACACTGACAGCATCCACGTTACCGTGACAGTCAAGAACGCACAGCCTGTGAACAATGGGGCAAGGCCAGTGCAGCTTCACACTGAACACAAACCCTAACACGACTGAGCTCTTCATACAAATGTGAAGAAATAAATCCTGTTAACATAACAGCTATAACTTATCTGAAACAGGGAAACACATCTGACACTGTGTTCCATAGATTTAGTCTGTTAATTATTAACTCTGGGAATCTCAGCAACGAGCGAGCCCGATGCTCCACACCAGCTGCCGTCCAGTCAGTTCCGACTCCCGGCAACCCCGTGTGTGTCAGAGTAGAACTGTGCGCCACGGAGTTTTCAGTGGCTGATTTTTCAGAAGTAGATCATCAGTCTTTCTTCTGCGGTGCCTCTGGGCGGACTCGAACCTCCAACCTTTGGGTTAGCAGCCGAGCGTGTTCACCGTTGGCACCGCCCAGGAACTCCGAACACGGTATTAAGTCATGACAACTAAAACTATCTACTCTAAACCCTTCGCTTTTTTCCACAGTGGCCCTTCTTTGTACAGCTCATCGTGGTGCACGGAAAGTACCTGTATCGTTTGGACCATTCTGTTTGTGAGTTCTAAGGCAGCCATTGCTGTTGAAGTGCCAAAGGAAGCAGCTCCTTTCTGAAAACCCCTGACGATTCGGCCGTCCTTCCGGTACTGCTCGATGGGCAGCCAGACCAGGTCCTTGAGGCCTTGCACTGGAATCAACCAACACACGGCAGTCAGTGTGAGTGCCTGTCTCACAGCCTCTGCTACCACACTAACCCTGGGCAGCTTCCTGAGTACGAGTACATGTGTGGGTTTTCCACAAAGAAGGCCCTCAGGCAGAGTCCCAAAGGTATACATAACCGAACAGGGTTAAGAATTACTGATCAGGCAAAATCAATCAACTTTTGATTGAAAAACACAGAACTCACCCAGCTGTACTAGTGAATGCATGGGCCCCACACCTCCCAGGATTCCTGGCAGCTGGTTCTTCTTGATGTCACTGAGCCATTCGGCGACGGCGTAGGAGAATAACTTGTCCACACCTAGCAAACTGGAGCAAGTGACTATTAGTGTAGACAGAAGATGAAACTTATAGATTTAGATACGTGTGTTTGTTTTTACTTAACATGCAAGAAAATACATAAATTACAAGGACAAAAGTATAACAGATGTTCCCAAAACAGCAAAACAGTTTTTAAATCAAACAGAAATGTCAATTAGCCATTTAACTCCCAATCTGAACTTCTCTTTATATATGTATATATATAGACACCCGCATATATGGAGCCCTGGTGGCGCAGTGGTTAACAGCTCAACTGCTAACCAAAACATCAGCAGTTTGAATCCACCAGCCGCTCCCTGGAAACGCTATGGGGCAGTGCTACTCTGTCTATAGGGTCGCCATGAGGTGGAATTGACTCGAAGGCAACGGGTTTTTTTTTTTTCAGGTATATACATATATATTCTAATTATAATTTCCATAAGGTTTAGGTAATACGAGTGTGTTTCTTCACTGTTCTTATTTCTTGAACATCTAAGGATCTGGCAAAGTATTAAAGTATACAAATTTCTACATAGTTCTTCGCTACTAAGAACAGCTACCTTGTGAACTTCCAGCCTTTTCACTAAACTACAACTTTGTGACATTGTGAAAAATATCCTAAACTACAGCCATCTGTGAAGAATGCCCCTCTGTTCAAACTCCTTCTTCTCCCTCTGAATAAAAACTAGACCCCAACTAGTCCCTGGAGAAGGACATCACGCTTGGTAAAGCAGGGGGTCAGCGAAAAAGAGGAAGACCCTTGGCGAGATGGACTGACACAGTGGCTGCAACAAGGGGCTCAAGCCCAGCAGTGACTGTGAGGATGGCGCAGGACCGGGCCGTGTTTCGTTCTGTTGTACACGGCGTCGCTGTGAGTCGGAACTGACTCGATGGTCCCTAACAACAACCAGGAAGGACTCTCCACAGCTGGGATCTTTGCAGACAGTGCTATAAAACAGCCGCACTCTGTAAGCTAGCCAAGAAAGCTCAATTTTTAAGTTATGATAAGCTAACTTTAGTAACTTGATCTTAAAGCCTCAGATGATAAATGGACTTACCCGTGCCGATAGAAAAGCCTCTTTAGCTTTAGTTCAGAGCAGTTTAATTGGGCTAGACCAATCAAAATCCCAGCTAATGTACCCTATAAAATTAAAAATGGCCAGATTAATCTGAAAATTAAAGACAGACTCAACATTTAAAACAACTGTTATTTGGGACAGCCAAAGCAATGTTCACTGGTGAAGCTAAAATGCTTAAAATGTTTACAGGGAAAAAAAAACTTTATAATACATATGACTGGATTGGAGCCCTGGTGGCACAGTGGTTAAGAGCTTGGCTGCCAACCAAAAGGTCGGCAGTTCAAATCTACCAGCCGCTCCTTGGAAATCCTAGGAGCAGTTCTACTCTGTCCCATACGGTCGCTACAGTCAGAACTGACTCGATGACAACGGGTATGACCCAATTTATATAAAATTTTACACATGGTACTTAGGTAGATAATATTTATTTTTAAAACAATTAAATTTAAAATCCTTGTACCTCATTTCAAACTTTTACATAAATTGTGACAGAGGAAAAAAATTTAAAAAAAAATTAAAAAACTTGGGACCATGAGAAAAGACAAATGAGATCATTAATTCTGTACAGTATAAGTGTGGTAAATGTCCAGACCTGATCCATCGACACGTGTTTGCCGTGATAATCAAGTCGAATAGGAACTTCTGACGTGAATCTAAATTCTCTGAAGAGAAAGAGAGGAGAGGAGTTATTTATGTTCAAAATCAATCACAGGAGAAACTACGCGCAAATTGATTTATTCAATTAGAGAGTCAAAAGAAAACCAAAAATAAATACGGCGACTACCATAAGGCCTAAATTAATAAAAAAGGATTATAAGAGTGTCTTTTAGCTGTACCTTTTCATAGGTAATATAGCAACTAAACAGATGTTGATCACCTTATAACTGGTATTTATCTTATTTAAATTATCTCACAAAAACCTTTCCCTGGTTTATCAAGTCATGGTTTTCCTACAAAAATTTATTTTAGTAGATATTATCAATTCACACAGAGCACAAATTAACACAAGAAACCTTTAAGATGAAAGCAAACAATGCAGTCACTGCCAATAACAAAAGAGAAGCCGCGACGGCAGCTGTGATATTTTGGCTCCAGAGAGGAGCTGAGCGGGCCCGGCTGGTGTGAGTCCAGCCTTATCGTGTGCAGTATGCAGCCAGGGCAGCAGCTTCCCTCTGAGTCTCATCGGTAAAATAATGTCACCTACAGTGCTGAGTTTTCGCAAGGATTCTTGAAACTAGTGCTTGCAAATGGGATACTGACAACAAATACTGAGAATTCTATGAGAACAAAATTACGACGGTGCAGTAATGGTACATCAGACAAAAGAAGCTGGCTTCCCAAAGCTGGACCTTAAAACGCATTTTCTTTCCACAGAATTAAGGTGGTCGTTGCACACCAAGCCATCCCACCGGGGGAGAGAATCCAGTGGGCAAGGTAAGCACGGCGCTAAGCTCACTACCAGACCATCTGTAGTGAACAATTTCACACTTTTTCACCACATCAGAGAGTCTGCTTCTAGGTACGGCTGGCATCTGTCTCTTCCCAACCCCACAGCACCTTCCTACACAATCGAAGCCTCTTTTCAAATTTATAATCCCCGACAGGAGCACATGACCGACCCAGCAAGCAAGGTAAGCACAGGCTTACTTGTGCTAATTTACTCATCTGTAGTGAACAATTTCCCATCTTTGGTGTAGTGAAACGCATGTGAAATTGTTCACTACAGATGAGCCAGTAAGCAAGGTAAGCTCATAGTGACCCTACAGGACAGAGTAGAACTGCCCCATAGGGTTTCCAAGTAGCAGCTGGTGGATTTGAACTGCCAACCTTTCGGTTACCAGCTGAGCTCTTAACCACTCCACCACCAGGACTCCAATCTAAGCTACAGTACAATGGAAATACGAGATTTGCATCAGTCACCACAAGAAGCCTAGGACCCCCGCCGGCCCCTCCTGGGACTCTCACCCATTTGGCCCTCTGGGAAAGTCCCCCGCCCTCACCCGCTTTACCCACTCTGTTTTTTCCTTAGCACTTATAATAGGAAACCCCACGTGTGCTCATTACATGTAAGCTCAATTAAGCAGGAATTTTTCTCTACTTTCTTCACTATGCCCAGAACAGACCTGACACATATATAGTGAATGCTCAGCAATATTAGTGGAATGAACACGTGTTCACAGGTTTTGTTATTATTATTCTGCCATCACTTGGCAAACGCAGCGGACCTGGGATTAGGAAGATCTGTGCCCTAGTCCCGGCCGGGCCTCTCACACTTGTGTGGTCTGGAGCACACACTAGCTGTCTTGTCTAAAGGTGGTTACCGCCCCAGGGCCCGGACCCCTAGGGGCCGTTGAAAGTAGAAATAAAAACCTATAAGCTATTTTCAGTAGTCTAATGACAAGAATAAGCCTTTCCCTAAGTAAATAAGAGGGGCTACACGAGCTGACTAAAAATGTCAAATTTCTTTGCTTTCAGCCAGAATTGTAACAATTCAGTATCTTTTACACTGGTCATCCCATGTTTATTAAAAATACGGATTTGTAGTTTGTATGTCTAAAACCAAACCAAACCCATTGCCATGGAGTCAATTCCGACTCATAGTGACCCTGTAGGACAGAGGAGATCTGCCCCATAGGGTTTCCAAGGCTGTAATCCTTATGGAAGCAGACTGCCCCATCTTTCTCCTGCAGAATGGCTGGTGGGTTCAAACTGCTGACCCTTCGGTTAGCAGTCGAGCACTTAACTACTGCGCCACCAGGGCTCCTAGTTTATACGTAATTAATATAAAAGATTTGGTAGAAAAAATTTAAAAAATAAACAGATCAGTGTGGGGAACAATGAAAGGGGTCCTTGATGTCTGGTGAGGGGGGCCAGAAGTGCCAGGGAGTGTCTACTTCAGGGTCTTCCCAATTCTCACGTCTAATATTCTTTCTATTTCCGTCATTATACGAGATAGTTAACTATGAAAACACTTTACAGCAGTGATCCAGCTCACTTTGGGCCGTACCTAAAGTCCAACCGCAGAACCGAGGGAGAAGCATGGGGAAAAACTGAGGACCCTTGATGTCAAAGGGGGAGGGGCACAGAAAACCAGGGAAGGCAGCTAATTGTCCCTCTGGGTGAAAGGGTGCTGATCCTCATCTGTCCTCTTTCCAGTGGAGCCAACACCCCGTTGCTACCACCGAGGGCCGGGAAAGGCAGAGGGCGGGAATACCCAACGGCCTGGAAACGAGGGATGAACTCCCCTGTGACCAGCGAGTGGGTGGCTGGGCGGGAGCCAGCTCTGCCAGGGGAGGGTCAGGAGACACGACAGTGACCGAGAAGGACAAACAGAAAGCTTGGCAGGACATCACGTGAGGGCGGGGGCAGAATGCCCAAGCGGAGGTGCCTAGGAAGATGAGGAAGAAGGACAACACAGTGTTTGGGCTCCCCGGGCGGCCCCAACGGTGAATGTGCTCGGCTGCTCACCCAAAGGTTGGAGGGTCAGGTCCACCCAGAGGTGCCTTGGAAGAAAGTCCTGGTGATCTACTTCCAAAAACTCAGCCACTGAGAATCCTATGGAGCGCAGTTCTACTCCGACACACACGGAGTTGCCATGAGTCGGAAACGACTTGACGGCAGCTGAGTTTTTTTCAATGTTTAAGGAGGTACAAACCTGACATAATAATGATGGCAAGGGAGGGATAGAAGGAGAGAGAGAGAGAAAAAAAAAAAGGAGCCCAAGGACGAAGCTAGGAGGAAAAGGGAATTTCCGCCACAGAATCAACAGAGGTGAGTCCTGAACTGGGTGACTGTCACTGAGGGGCACACACAGACACACACCAGCTGCTAACATGGCCGCGCGGAGGAAAGCCGACGCAACCACACGGCCACCAACAGACACGCGTCGAAGGACGGTCTCCTGAGCTGTAACATCGTTTGTCCTCAAAATCACGGTATTTACCTAAAAAACACAGGCTGGTCACTAAATGATGGGTCTTCAGCCGAGAAATCCTTCTCTTCCTCCCCATTAATCACATCCACTGAATTGGCACTATCATTTCCGGAAGATGGTTTTGGCCCAGGGAAAGAAAGAACTAGATTTGGCTCCTTTGGGGTGCTTAAATGCCTTGGCAAACTGCAGGTGACATCAGCTCCAGGAGACTTCTTAACTGAAAACGTAGTGTGCACATTTGAAAAATTAGGTACAGTTCTTGACAGTACTCACTTAAATCAATCTAGATCTAACTTGCTTTGCTACATTTCGTTTAATAAACACAATTACTGTTATAGAGAATATCTGCTTTCACCTTTTAAATGATTACTTTCACATAAAATATATTTGCATAAATTAACAAAAATAAACACAGAGCACATTTATATAAACAGGAATAAAGACTATAAGTACATTATCAAAAAAAAAGCTTTATAATCAAAAGCAATCCAAGTGCTTGTAGTTTTTTTCAAACTATACATATTTAATACCTTCTGGATCTGGAGTCATTAAAAGCTCTACCTCTGTGGAAAGACTCGTGAAAAAATCCTTCAGGAAGAACAAGGCATCCTAAAATTAAGAGATGGAATTATAACTAAAAGGAAAGAAAATCTATTTCTAACTAAAAAACAAAGTATCTTCAGGTCTCATAATTTACTCATTATTCATACACAGCTCTCCTTCATTGAGGTCTAACTCTGTGCCAGGCATTGTGCCTATAAATACACGCATGCACACACGCACACACACACACACCCCTTTCCCCACTAATTCTCACAACTCTATGAGGAAATCAATCTCATAGATGTGAAAATGAACATCCAGAAGTTAAATTGCTCAAGATTACAAAGCTACGTAACAGAGATTTCTAAGCATATTTTAGTTTCCTTAGAAAAAGAGCCTTCTCGTTCTTATTTCACATTAGCTCTAACCCTAAATTAACAGCAATAATATTACTCGCAATGAGAGTAACAGCAGTTAGCAGGCACTGGGTAGTTACTATGTATAAAGCATTGCCTTAAAAGTGCCTGATGTCTTACTTCTGCTCTCCCCGCTCTGTTATGCCGACTTAATATAGTTTCTTCATTGGACATGAAGTTCAAAATAAAAACGACCTCTTCTAAAGCGCTACAATTACAAATGACGGGGTGTGCCTCTGTCCTGACGTTGCGTACAGAAGCCACATTGGCCCTTACCAGGAGTTTCACTCTGCCTGCCTCACTCAAACTAACAAATACATTTTGTATGATATAAAAATCAAATACTTTGAGCCTGTTCCTTCTCATTCTTCCCTTCCATCTTAAGAAATGCTGAACCGACGTAAAACACTAATGCTCTGCCAAAATACACTGTGAGGCGGATTACAGGGTCACGAGATTTGGTGGCACATCAAAAGCCTGATCAACACCACAAAAGCTGAGCTGATCAACCATTAATCACATTGATCAGAAGAATACATGGTGCAGATGGGAAAGGTATTTTTCCAGGTGACAGTATATGGGAGGCTGAGGGATGGGATTGAAGAAGAGAAAGCAGGTAATTTCAGCAGTACTGAAAACATCCTGGTTCTGAAGTGGAGTAGCGGGCTCATGAGTCGTTTGTTATATTATTATACTTTACACATTACAGGTATTATTTTGCTGTTGTTTCTGTCAAGTCGATTTTCGATTCATAACAACCCCATATTACTTTATATGTATCAAATATTACGTTAACAAATTTAACAGTGTTTTAAATGTTATTATTTGGCCACTAGATGGCGATATTTTAATGCTATAAATGTTTTGACTCCATGACTACCTTCACAAGACAGAAAATTTCAGGGTCGCTATGAGTGGGAATGGACTTGTCAGCAATGGGTTTTTGACCCTCCCTGCACAGAAGTGCAGGCAGTAGTGTGAGAACGAAACCAGGCTAGGACTCAGGGAATCTCACCCCTTCTGTGTGAGCCCTCGACCCACCTAACCAGGTGACCTGGCACCGTCCACCTACCCCACCTACTCTCCTCGATGGGACCCGTGACATCTGCCCCCTTTCCTGCCCACCCTCTGGGATGTTCAGCTTCAGAAGCAATTACACTTAATTTGAAATTAAAAATAATCTTGTTGGGGGGATCCTTGTTTTTGGGACACTGAGCTTCTGTTAAGGGTGATGAAAATGTGGGAACGGATAGTGGTGCTGTGTGAACAACAAGATTAATGCCACAAAACAGTACATGGAATATTTACCACAATACAAAAAAATAAAGTAATTCTTGCAGTGTTACTATCCTTTATCACTGGTCCTTAGAGCCAGAAATAATTATCTTACAAAATTTGGAATAAATTAACAAACTCCATGCAGCTTTTTAAAAACAGAAGAAAACAACGTGTTGCTTTCATGTTTCATGGGTATGATCCAATGAAGATAAATTTGCACAGTGAGAAAAAAAATTACTCAAGGCATTATCATTCATTAGCTGATTTGTTTTCAAAAGGAAGAAATGAAGAACAGAAATATTCGGTTTCCTCCTCAGATCACTGTTTGCTGACACCTGGTGATACACGGAAGGCCAGTGGGAGAAGTGGCAAACTAAGAAGGCGTTTTGGTATAGGGGTGTGCCTCATCACGGCTTACATATCTAGGTTTCATTACCTTGGAGAATTATTTCCCATTCCTCCTTAGTGTATCCATAAAATTTATTTCACTGACTGTTTTCTCAAAGATTAATATTTCCTCATTTTAAAATCATAATGCTTTCTGATTCTAAGGAAGAAATTAAGCTAAAAAACTCTATTAAAGAAAATTGGGCTTGTTGAGTTTGGTAGAGTCATGTCATAAAAATAGATCTTGCTCAAAGTTTTGTTCACACTGGCGATTTCCACAGATCAACTCTGCCATAAATACTTCAGCATATTCCTAGTAGGCCAATATAGGGATATATTAAAATATGGATATCAAAAGATATTCTTCTCAGAGGTGGGGCCAAGATGGCAGAGTAGTCAGACGCTTCCAGTGGATCCTCTTACAACAAAGACCAGAAAAAACAAGTGATTCAATTATATGTGGCAATCTGGGAGCCCTGAACATCAAAAGCAGAGTTGAGGAACCCGAATGAGTGGCAGGGGGAGGGAGAGATGGTTCGGAAGCAGCGAGGAGTTGCCAGACCTGACCCGGCAAGAGCCTGGGCCTTTCAGGCCTGAGCAGCTCAGGGGTGAGCGGTGAGGCAGGCATGCAGCCGTGCTCGGGAGGTACGTTTTCTGTACCGGGAGAGAACCAGCGCCAGAGAGTCTACATGGCCACCCAGAACCAGTGAGAAGCAGCACTCGTCGGTGAAAGATAAGTACTTGCGTACGGCCTACCACGCGGATCAAAAACACCCACCTTAGGGAAAAACCTCTCTCCTGTTTACCTCCCCGCTCCCTGCTCTGCACTGGATCCCGGACCGGCTTCAGCAATTGCTGAATTCCCTGGGCCAGAAGTAGGATCTGTCACACGCCCAGAGCCACTCTCCCTGCCTTGGAGAGTGAACAAATTAAACAGGGAAAAAATAAACCGCCAGCTCCCCTAAGCCAGGAATCCAGGGCAGGCACAGCTCCTTTGCCTAGGCACAGGCATAAGGGAGCCATGGACTCTGAGTGCCCTTCCCCCTGCATAGACTTGTGCGGGCCCATCTCAACAGCGTAGGCCCTCATTACCGCAGTACAACGGGGTGTAGACCGGAAGTCTAACTTCAACTGTTTCATCTGTGGAGTGGAAGGTTCTTGACATTTGACACTGCTCTGCCCGTTAAGCAGGGTCTTCACTTACCCACATCAGGGGCCTGAGGACTGGTGGCTCTACCCACGCCACCTAGCCACCTGCGATAGGGGCCCATGAATAAGAGGTGCCCCCCCAGTCCTTACAGCCAACAGCATCAGGTGCTCACGGTCCAGCTGCAAAACCCACCCACCTATGCACTCTAGGGAACAGGGACATGCCTTCCTGCTGGACACTCGGGGGTGGCAGTCAGCCCCCTGCCTTGCTCAGAGTGTGTCCCCCTGCTGCAACCAGATGACTGTGCCTACGCAAATCACCCATGCCTGTCTAGGACTGTAAGTGAGAGCCTACCACACACTTGGTGACCATTTACCTGGGCACCTGAGCTGAATCCATACAGGAGGAGTGGGCGGACTCCTGAGCTCACATACCTAGTAACAGATCTAACTACCTGGTGACAGGACATTAGAGCTTCATAGGTGCCAATAATCAAACTAGCTCATATGAGCAGCCTATTTGGGCATATCAAAACAAAACAAGAAGCTAGGACACAGTAAGCAAACATAAAATAAATAAATATAATAACTTATTGATGGCTTGGAGACAACAGTCAATATCAAATCACATAAAGAGGCAATCCATGATGGCTTCAGCAAGCTCCCAAAATAAAGAATCAAGAAATTTTCTGGAGGAAGAGTACTTCTTGGAATTACCAGGGGTAGAATACAAAAGATTAATATACAGAACTCTTCAAGAATTTAGAAAGGAAATTAAGCAAAACGCAGAACACGCAATAGAGGAAATTAAAAAGAGAAGAGCATAATGACAAATTTAACAGGCTGCAAGAATCCATAGAGAGACAGCAATCAGAAATCCAGAAGATTAACAATAAAATTTCAGAATTAGACAACTCAACAGAAAGTTATCGGAGCAGAATTGAGGCAATGGAAGAAAGAATTAGTGAGATCAAAGATAAAATACTTGACACCAACTTATTTGAGGAAAAATCAGATAAGAAGATTTAAAAAAATGAAGAAACCCTAAGAATTACGTGGGACTCTATCAAGAGGAATAACCTACGAGTAACTGGTGTACGTGAACAGGGGGGATAACAGAAAATACAGAGAGAATTGTTGAAGATTTGTTGGCAGAAAGCTTCCCTGATATCGTGAAAGATGACAAGATATCTATCCAAGATGCTCGTCAAACCCACGTAAGGTACATCCCAAAAGAAAGTCACCAAGACATTATAATCACACTTGCCAAAACCAAGGATAAAAAGAGAATTTTAAGAGCGGCTAGGGATAAATGAAAAGTCATCTACAAAGGAAAGTCATTAACCACAAGATCGGACTACTCAGCAGAAACCATGCAGGCAAGAAGGCAATGGGATGACATATATAAAGCCTTGAAGAAAAAAAACTGCCAGCTAAGAACTGTCTCACAATATGATGACGAAATTAGGGCATTTCCAGATGAACAGAAGTTTAGGGAATTTGCAAAAACCAAACCACAGTTACAAGAAATACTAAAAGGAGTCCTTCGGTTAGAAAATCAGTAACATCAGATAACAACCCAAGAATAGAACACAGGACAGAGCAACCAGATATCAACCCAGACAGGGAAGACATAAAAGTAAATCAAACCTAAAACACTGAAAATAGGGAAACAGATGTCAATATGTAAAAGATGACAACATTAAAACAAAAAACAGGGACTTAAAAAATGTAGACATAGATTTTTCATATGGAGAAAAAGTCAAGGCAATGTAAAGAAATAAAAGACTGGTATAAACTTAGAAAAATAGGGGTACATATTAAGGTAACCACAAA